GGTACTGCCGATTATGAGTGATCCAGTCAGTGACCTGAGAAGAACTTACTGACCTTCCCAATCTAATGTAGGACAGGCCCAGCCATGGTCAAGGGTGGAACAGGCAAGGGCTGGTGGGAGGGATTTGAGGACCAAGTTATGGGGAAAGGTTGAGGACATCACCCTTTAGCCCTCTGTCCCTGAGAGAATCAGAGGGACAGAGGCCTGGCCCACTGGAGACAGAAGAGTTCCTGTCCAACACTCAGAGGCAGTTCTAACAGATCCCAGGGCACCAGACACCATTTTCCTCTCCTTTCATGGAGCCGTGCAGAACTGACACTTGAGCTCTGAGGCCAGGGTGTCTGCTCTATAATGACCATTGCCAAATACTCAGGCCCGCTATTCACCATGCTCCGTTTTACTCTGAAAATTGCATACTTATTTCAATGAAGGCTTATAATCTTGTGAAGCAATTCTTACTTTCCTGTTTTTACGGCTAACAAGATAGAAGTTCAAGGGTATGAGGAAGCCTGCACAGGGTCACACAGCCACGTGACCGAGCCCTAACAGGAGCCAGGCCATCCCCACAGCTCAGCCAAGCTTCAAACCAGCTCACGGATGCTCCAGGGATCCATGGGGGTGATGAGGAGAGCAGAAATCTTTAGCTTTTCTATTTATATAAGATTTAATCTTATCTCTTTTAATTCGTTTTTTATGTTCATTTTTATAATCTGTATAATGTTAGCACATATTTGGAAGCTGCAGGTTCACAATGTATTGCGGAAAGCAGTGCATGAGCAAAAGACTTTGAAGACCTTGCTCCATACCTCTGCTCCAGAAATCCTTCCTAAAGCAGCAGCTCTCAGGGAGGGAAGCTCGCCAGAGTTAACTTGAGGGCAATAGAAAGACACCCCCACCGGCTCACAAGGCTTTCCTCGGCCTCTGCTGCCCCCTTGTGGCCACCACTGGACAGACACAGAGAGGGTTTCCCTGAAGGAAAACACTGAAGAAGGAGGGGTATGGACAATACAGAAAACTAATCAAAGAATGTGAAATGGAGCGAAGGAGACCGGATGCAAAACATCACATGCTAAACAATTCCAAATATATGACATTAAAGACCAGGCAAAACGAATCTCAAAGCTCCCTGTGGGACTTCTTTCTAGGATACTGCTTCTCTCAGTCAATCATCAACTGCAGAGAGTGCTTCCCCTGAGACCCGTTGTCATGGACTCAATTCCAACACATGGTGACTCCATATGTTACAGAGGAGAACTGAGTTCCATAGGATTTTCTTGGCTGTAATCTTTGCAAAAATAGATGGCCAAGCCTTTCTTCCACGGCCCAACAGAGTGGGTTCTTACCACCAGACATTACCTCGGAGTCAGCGAGCCTATCACAGACTGAACTCAGACCCAGACCTGAATCCCAGGCAGCCAGGACTCAGGAGCCTAGGACTCCGAGGCCCACTGACCTTCAGTTCCGACCCCGGGCTGCTGCTTGCTCCCTTGATTCTCTCTGCACCCCTTCTCTCCTCACAATAACCCCCTCACTGGCCTTCTCTTCTCCTGCTCTCTGCATTGCCCTTCACTCTCCCCCACTCTATAACCCCTTCTCCCCTCACACTTTCCCTCCACCCTCCTTCTCTCTCTCTCCTCACTTTCCACCACTTCACACTCCTTCCTTTTGCCCTCCCCTCCCATTAGTCCCCCATACACCCCCTTCCTCTCACCTTGCTACATTTTCAAGGTAAGAAGAAAAGGAAGAGCAATTATACCTGTGAAATATAAGCCTTTATCAACATTTTACAGATGAAAAAACTGAGGTTTAGAGAGTCCAAAACAGTTGCTCAAGCTGACATAGCTGGTAAGCAGAC